GGGAGGAGGACAGTGTGACTTCAATTCACTCCTCCACCATCTTGCCCCTCCGTTTATACATTTCATAGCATTCCTGGCAAGTGGTATATAAAAATCATAGAACTGAAGATTGTTTTTCTGGTATTTATGCAGTAAAATATAAGTTGTATAACTGTCCCACAGAGACCCTCAGCACAGTCTCTGTAGTTTTTGGTGCAAGCTTTTGGCTGTAGATATTGGTTCCATTGGAGAGTGTTTAAAGATATATGATCAGACCAAAGACCTTCTGCCTTTTATAGCAGACATAATAGACTCTATACTGCTCTAATATTGCTCTAATACTGCTCCTTCAGACATCATTATAACATGACACACTCCTCTTCCTTCCCATAGGCCTTATATCTACCATCCCTAACTTTATGTCTTGATTTTAATTGGTCATGGTATTTCTTAGTTTCTAGTTCCTTTTCTCTAGCTAACTTTATCCTATGTTACTTTATTTATCAATGATTTTGTTATTAATCATGAGTGAACATCACAAACTGACATGGCATCAAATTTTTTTAAATTATATTTTATTGATTATGCTATTACAGGTGTCCCAATTTTTCCCCCTTTGCGCCCCTCCACCTAGTACCCCCTACTCCAATGGCGTGACCATCTCCACGCCATTGTTCATGTCCATGGGTCATGCATTTAAGTTCTTTGACTACTCTATTTCCTAGACTGTACTTTTCATCTCCATGGCTATTACTACCTATTTGTACTTTTTAATCCCCTCACCTCTTCATCCATTCCCCACCTCCACACTCCCCTCTGACAAACATGAAAACACTCTTTTATCCATGATTCTGTCTCTGTTCTGTTTCCTTAGTTTTTTAGATTCAAATGTTGCTAGGTATGTATTTATTGCCATTTTATTGTTCATAGTTTTGATCTTTTTCTTAAGTCCCTTTAACATTTCATATAATAATGGTTGGATGAAGATGAACACCTTTAACTTTATCTTACCTGGGAAGCTCTTTATATGCCCTTCCATTCTAAATGATAGCTTTGCTGGGTATAGCAATCTTGGATGTTGGTCCCTGGTCTTCATGACTTTGAATGTTTCTTGCCTTTCCCTTCTAGCCTGCAAAGTTTCTTTTGAGAAATCAACTGAGAGCCTTATGGTAACTCCCCTGTATGTAACCAACTGCTTTTCTCTTGCTGCTTTTAAAAATTCTCTCTTTACCTTTAATCTTTGGCATTTTAATTATGATGTGTCTTGGAGTGTGCCTCTTTGCATCCATCTTGTTTTGGACTCTCTGTGCTTCCTGGACTTGCATGTTTATTTTCTTCACCAAATTAGGGAAATTTTCTTTCACAATTGTTTCAAATAGATTTCCAATTTCTTGCTCTTTCTCTCCGCCTTCTGGCACCCCTATGATGCAAATGTTGCAATGCCTGAAGTTGTCCCAGAGGCTGTTTATACTATCCTTTTTTGGATTCTTTCTCCTTTTTGTTGTTTTGTGTGGTTGGTTTTTGCTTCCTTATGTTCCAAATCATTGATTCTCAGCTTCATCCACTCTACTGTTGTTTCCCTGTAAATTGTTCTTTATTTCAATTAGTGTATACTTCATTTCTAATTGAATCTTTTTTATGCTATTGAGGTCCTCACTAAGTTCCTTGAGTATCCTTATAACCAGTGTTATGAATTCTGCATCTGATAGATTGCTTATCTCTATTTTGTTTAGTTCTTTTTCTGGAGTTTTGATCTCGTCTTTCATTTCGGCCATGATTCTTTGCCTGCTCATTTTGTCAGCCTCCCTGTGCTTGTTTCTATGTGTTAGGTAGAGCTGCTATGACTCCCTGTCTTTGTAGCATGTCATAATATAGTAGGTGTCCTATAGGGTACAGTGACGTAGCTTCCCCTATCACCCATGAAGGGTACTCAAGGTGCACCCTTCATGTTGGCTAAGTACACCCTACTCTTGTAGTTGAGCCTTGATTGCTGTTGGCAGGTTAATGAGAGGGATTTACCCAGGCCATTTAGTTACAAGCCTGGCTGTGACCATTGACCACCAACTTCCACCCTCCGTAGAGGATCAGCTATGCAAGGGGCAGGGTGGTGGTGCTCCAACGTGGTCTCCAGCTGTCCACTAGAGGCACAGGTTCTGAGGCTTCCAAGGTGGTGCAGGCCAAGTTCAGCTCCAACCTGTGCTCTTCCAGGGGCCACTCTGCATGAGCTATAAACCAATCTGAGATGGCTGCTACTTGTGCTGGGCTTGAAGATTCCCAGACAGAGCCAAACTGTGAATTTGGGCTGATTGCTGCTAGTGCTGGGCCTGGGGCCACTTAGCAAGAAATATGGAGGCTGGGGGCTCAGAGGCCAGTTGTTGCTTGTTTGATAGGCTTAAGGAAGTTATGAAGCGTGAGCCAAGACCAGCCATTCATATGGAGAAGTCATGGATAACAGTTTTGGGTGGGATAGTCTCAGGGGGTCTCCAGGACAGGACAAAAAGTGTGTTAGCCAGGATGTGGCACCTGCTTGCTGGCTCTGTGACTCTGTCATGGGAGGGCTCAGACAAGGGTCAATGCCTTTGCCCTGCTTTCTGTCTGGAGGAAAGCTGTACCCCAGCTCCTGCCTTGATGCCACACTCTTCAGTTTCTCCACATGCCACTGGTGCCTTTCAAGCTGCTACTCCAGCGCTGGAGCTCAGAGAGAATGAATGTAAGTCCATGTGTGGGTTTTTTAAGGGGAACTGCTTGGGACTCCTTAAGTTTCTTCCACCAACTCAAGCCCCATTGTTTTTGCAGCCAAAAAGTTATGGGAACTTACCTTGCTGCCACTGGAACCCTGAATCAGGGATCTGAGTGTGGGGCTGGGACTCCATGCTCCTGAGATATCCCTCCTGAATTTTTATCCACCATACATGGATACGGGACCAGCCCATTCCCACATCTCTGCCCCTCCTACCAGGCTGAACGAATGTGGTTTCTTTAATTCCATAGTTGTCAGACTTTCATTCAACTCGACCTCTGATGGTTCTGAGTGATGGTTGTTCTGTATTTTAGTTGTCATTTTGATGTGGTTGTGGGAGGAGGTGAGCTATGTTTACCTATGCTGCTATCTTCACTGGAAGGCACCATCAAATTTTTTGATAAATGTGTAGAATTTATTTTACACGAGGATACATGAGAATATCAAATGAGGACACAAATGAGGATATACAACTATCTCTCAGAACTATACATTAAACGTTTTACACATTTTCAAAGGAGGAGAGAGATGTGGCATGGCAATTTTGTGTCATGGTCAAATCATGACATGGTTCAACTTGTTGAGAATAAGAGCAAGAGATGCTGTAGATCACATTGGTGCTAAAGAAAGGCCATATGTTTATTGGAACATGTAAGTTTTTGTCTACTGCATATGTAGGAAATTATGGTCAGGCAATGAATAACTCTATTCAAAACAGGTGAGTTCAAATCTAAACTTTTTCCATTTTCTGAAATCCATCTTTCCAAACCATTAATCGTTGTTCATCGAAATTGTTATTTTAAAAGTGTAGGGATAACACAAAACTACCGTATTAGTGGATGTCACATATACTTAGCACAGAGTTTGACACTTCATAAAACAAAAACTTTACTGTTTTGTCCTTCCAATATTGCATCATTCCTCTGCCCAATTTTATAACCCCTCCTTACTTGCTGAATCATGAAATCTTCCATCCCTTTACTTTCCTCAGAAAAACCTGCTCAATTGAAGTAAGCTAAGTTGATAACTCAATCTTACATTTTGGTTTGGAAACTGCCCCAGTTTTCTTTACATGAAAAAGTCACTAGACTGTTTTTTGATTCATATGCTCATATTTGCATTTGAATCACACACTCTGCCTACAACAAAAATACAGTGACAGAAGACATAAATGGAAATTATCAAAAAACACACACTGTATCATTTTAACCTTTCTCTCCCATTGTTTTTGTACAAAGTGATTTTAAACTTATGTTTTAAAAAATTACAAATGCTATCAAGTGAATATGGAGACTTACTTTGAAAATAATCACATTTAAATAGTTAAAAAATAAAATTTTAATCATTCTACACGTGCATAGTATACAAGTAGTTCGCATTTACACAATTGCATTATGCCTTCAGAGGCATACACCTAATAATGGGTGCTATAATTGTACACTTGGAGTTCTAGAATCTGAACATATTATTTTTTTGCAGTTATTTTCATAAGGGCATATATTAAATTAATAATGTGGGTTGTTTATGAAAAATTTCAGATATCTTACAGAGCTGATGAAGATTTCTCAGAACTTAGTATGTTAAATGTTTTAAACATTTTCAAAAGAGAAAAGAAATAATCATGTCCTAGCTGTCTTAACTTTAAAATGACAGTGGTGAATTTTGCACAGCCCAAACTAGCGAGCATATATACCTTACAGAAAGGCAGCCCAGTACTACTCTCAGTCACCCTGCTAACTGTGTACACAACGCCCCACACTGAGCTCAGTGTGCTTTAATTTGATACTTCAATTAAACATTTAGGATTATATTAAATTATTAACACATTTTTTCTCATTTTACCAGACATAAGCCTATCATTAAAGCACCATAAAGTCACCTCTTGTGCACTCTTTTCATCCTTACATTTAATTAAAAGCCAATTAAAATAAAATTGGTATTTCAAAAAAATCTCTATGTAAAAAGTTTCCTAAAATGATGGACCAACTCCCAAAAGTATTTCTAATGTGGCTGGCAGATTTTATGGATGAACATCTACATTCTTATTTTATAGTTAAGACTTTTCTAAAATATAAAAATATTAACCTTCATGACAACTTCTGAGGAGACATTATTATCACCTCCACTTTATAGACGGGGAAAATGATGCCAGACAGATTACTTTCTCTTTCCTCTCCCTCTTTAATTTGCCACAGTTCATCAAAGTGAACCTAGAGAATTTTGGAAAGGTGTGTGGCACAGCTGCACCTTAAACACAGGCAAAGTACATTCATTTTTCATTTTATTTCATTCTCTTGTGCCAAACATCGAAACAAGGAACTGCATGAAGTCTCACATACTTCTGTCCATCGACAGAGCACTGAAAGCACCCATAAACTGTCTCCCTTTTCAAGTTCCCCATTCCACAGAGTATGCAAGGTCCTTTTGGAATGTTGTGATTAAGTAAGTTAACTCGGATATGAGTCCCTTCTTTGAGTGAAATGTCAGTCATGCTGAAACGTTTGTCATAATAGTCAGAAAAAAGATCATCTAGGTAAAGCTGTGAACGAGAAATGACATCCATCACTCTTCTATCTAAAAGGACAAAAACAGAAAAATGTGTCAGAAGTCAAATTAAGAAAACATAACCAAACTGCATTTATAATCAAATGATTATAATTTGGCTTTTAAATTTATATTCTTAACAGACAGGATTACTAATAGACAGCCTTAAGTGTTAAACCCAGAAGTAAAAAAAAAAAAAAAGCATTTGAAATACTCTTCAACAGACATACTTCTTTCAAATAGTATATTTCTCAATCGGTAGAGGAATGCAAACGTTGCCGTTTCTTCCCTTTCAAATCCTCCTTTTGACACTGAAGTGACACAAATGTCTGTAAAAGAAATTTAGAAGATGTTATAACTTGAATTCATATTTTGTGGTTGACATAGTTGTGGTCGATGAATTCTGGTACATGCCATCCATTGCATTTTTTAAGTTAAATTTTACATTTTTTAAGAAAAGGTAACATTCAGATGGTACAAAATTCAAACAGTACAAAAAGGGGATACGGTGACAAAGAAGTCTCTAGTCTACACTGACCCCAGCCTCAGTTTTCCACCCCAGAGGTAACCGACTATTAACTTCCTTACATAAACTTCCAGAAGTGCTCCCCATATTTTACAAGTGTAAAGGAGTATGTATGTATGCATGTATGTACATATGTATAGAAAATTCTTTAGGCTCAAAAAGTTATATACTACACATTTCTTTCAAATATCTCTGAGATTATTCAATGTCAGGATATATAGTGCTACTTCATTCTTAGTATTCCATTGTGTGGATGCACATTATTTAACTAGTTGCTGATAATAGATCTTAAGGTTATTTCCATTCTTCTGCTGTTACAAACTGAATATCCTTATCCCCATATCATTTCACACATGTAAAGCTATCTATAGGATAAATTTCTAAAAGTGTAAGGCTAAAGTATATGCACACTTTAAATCTGGATGGATGTATCAGTTCTATCAGTTCATATGCCTTCTAACTATCAGTATAATTGTAAAAACCTGTAGCCAAATGTCCTGAATAGAATTTAATTTGCATGTTTTGCTTTGTGCCTGGACTCCCTCTTCTCTTCTCCCACAGAACTATAGAAACAAACGTAAACAGGTCCAAAAAGGTCTATAAATTACCATGGCTAGTGAGCTCATTTGCCTGGTCCTGTGGCCTACGCCTAGGCTTGAGCTGGCTGGCCTCCTAACCTGGAAGATCTGTGAAGTGTAGAAATCTAAAGTGAGCTGCACTGAGGTATTATATAAAGTGACAATTTTAGGGGAAGCATTTGTACTCTTAAAGTTATTTTTAGAGAGAGTTTGAGGGGAAAGCTATGATAGGTAAAAAGGAAGAAAAGCTGTCCTTGGGTCCACTTGTTTGGATATAGATATCTACCTGACACTTTCAGATATACTACTATGTATTTACTCCTCTATTTGCCAACATCAAAAACTCCCTATTAGAAGGTCATATATTATCTCACCACGTAAGGCAAGAAATAAATACTTTGTCAGTGGATTGCATTTTAGCTCTTATCTGTAATTGTAAGTGGAGTGGTGGGAGTCTAGAGCCTTTAACAAAAAGCAGGAAAGAGGTATTGGGTAAGTAGGGACTGCAGGGTATCTCCCAACTACTTCACCCAAGCATAAAATTGACAGTGCTAACAGCATCATTCTGCTGTAGTTGGGGGACGGGGGTGTGGTAGGGGAGGGTGTGTGTGTGTGTGTGTGTTTGAGTGTGTGTGTGTGTGCGTGTGTGTGTCCCCTATAAAATTCTTAAACATTTAATCAACTCAATGTTTCATGTAAGTCATTCACTTACCAAAGCCACCATCCAAGTAAATGAAGAGTTCAAAAACACTGAAAGCTATGGTTGTATGTGCTGGAAAAACAATAGCTTTGTCCCTTCCCTTGGGATTCTGTTCATCCATAAAATGGAACTGTAATAAAAAAAAAATAACATTATTAAGGAGCATTAACACATAAGGATAGTTTTTTGGAGAAACAATCCTACCAAAACAACAACAACAAAACACTTCTCCAAGTAAAGAATCATCTTACTCAAAATAGACTTTACAGCAAAGGTCCAAATGGTGCAATGGGAACTCATGTTCTGTATCAGGAAACACTACTCATCACTTTCCCACTTACTTTGGTACTGGAGCCAATGATTAGTGCTGCCACAACAGTAAAGCTCCACAGCACAGAAGCCTTTCTCTTTCAACCGCAAACCAACTAAAATGCTACAGTTTTTTAGCCTACCCTGTCCACTGTTCCAAAGCACTTAGAGCTTCCAGCAGCTTTCCAAAGCAATCATCAACAATTAAGTAAATGTTCGTGCCCAAATGATCCAATATTAAACAGTTTGGTGGGCAGCTAAATGGAGCCTTTATTTTCAAAGACTTGAAAAGATTATCACTGAACCCTATCTTACTAACAATTTGTTTTCATAAAATGAATCGTCATTGTTATGTGTCATTATGGGATGACAGACAAACATAATTGAGGTAATAATTAAACACAAGTTACTTTAAACATTTTTTAAAGGATTTAACACTGAACAAAGTTTAGTTATCGACAATATTATTTTAGAAAAATATAAAAATATAAATTCAACTTTTAAAATTTAAGTATAAACTATATCGCTTAAAAATAAAAATCAACAAATTCACAAAAGTATTCAATTTTTAATTCTTAAAACAGCATTTAAATAGCAATAGGAGGGATGCACATTATTTCACAAAGATTAGTGTTTTGTTTGTTGAGAATCCAAATTTTCTTGGATTATTTTTCACATCTAAAAACCATTACTGTGCAAAATCATTGCAGCTCCTCAGTTTCAACATTTGACAATATACACAAGTCTCATTAGAAATTGAGTACTTTTTAAAATATTTCCATTGCAGCTCTTTAGTAAAAGAAACCTAAATGAGTGTGGTTTTACCCGCATGGCCTCCCCACGAATTCCAGCATGTACAGACAGTGAGCACTGGCGTGTGGTTCGAATGCTTTCCATGACCACACACAATACTGCTTTTCTGCTGTTCCTCGACTGACGTATCAAGCTGTGGTCAAAATTAATTTTTCTAAAATAAACAAGAGAGACATTCACAAGAATCTATACCATTTGATTACATATCATCCAATCATTTTTTGCTAGCATGTTACTCATTCACAGTCTACCTTAACTAAAAGTAAATCAAGGCAGGCTTAATACAAGTCAGAAAGTATGCTTGAAAGAAACTTACTAATCCTCATCTCCTTTCTAATCCGCATCTCCTTTCTATTTTCTTAACACATGCTTATTATAGGAATCTATTGGAGAGACTCTTTTAACGTATTTGTTGCAAGCAAATTCCTGTATTCTTTTAATCTAATAATTTAGCAAATGTGTTCAGATCCAAAGCAATTTTGTGGGACAATTAAAAATTCTGTCTAAACCAAATGACAGAATTTTTTGGATATCTACTCATCCAAAGTTTGGATATATTAATAATTTGTATTATTTCAAACAAATCAAACAAATATATTACATTAGTAAAGTATAACCTGAATGTTTTAATCATTCATTCTAAAAACGTTTATATAATTAAGATATTTAATGAAAACACTAACATGTGTAAGGATTATTACACTGACCGTGTAGTAATTTCCTTGAGTAATGTTGAAATTTCCACTTCGTGTTTAGTTACTACACCAAATGAAGCTTTGACTGCAACAGAATCTGATCCAGCAACATTAATCCCAACATCATTCACAATATGGTTGCCTCGCCTTCCATAGAGTGAAACATCTGATTCATCTTCATAATTCAGTAACTGATAAGACGAAATACCTTTTAAAAAAAGAAAATTAATATTTTTCAAATGTCGTGAATTCATCTAGATTACATATAGTAACACATTAATTTACCATTTAAGACTTGATTGCCCCACTGTTGGGAAAGGCAATGTTTTAAACCAAGGTTAAAAATAGCAATTCAATTAATTAGAAAACAACAAGAAATAAACAGCCAGAGTATTTAAAATGAACAGACCTTCTTAAGCATCAAGATCCACTAGGTAGTTGAAAGAAAAACAGGTGTTTTTGAGAAATAATTTTTCAAAATGTCAATTTATTTTCTAACCTAGTCTGTAATATATTTCAGTTTGCCAACTGTAGTAAGTGAATCATAAAAATTAGATACAAATTACTTTAATCTCATTTGACCATGTGAGATAGGTAAGACTAAATAATACCTCCATTTCCTAAATGAAAATTATATTATGTCATACTCTACATCATTTGGTTAAAACAATTTATAAAATAATTGAAATAAAACTATACAATAATCTTATAAAGTAGGCTTGAAAATTGTTTGATCAATAAGAGATTTGATACTATTATAAACTTTAGGCACTGTTAAGCATAATAATATTATTACTGCTATAGCAATAAAAGGTGCATTTATCAGTGAAAATGTGTAAATATTATGAATATAAACAGTATATATGGCCCAAGTTTAGATTACCAATAATATAGGTGAATGAGGAGTCATTCCCAAACACACATTTAAACTTACCAGCTGAAATTTCTCTGTCTCCTAGAAGAATATCTTTCAGTGTGAAAGGTGTTGAGGTAAATTTATATCTAGGAAACAGAAAACATCGCTTCTTTTTTACCACCAGACTTAGAGGTTGGTACTTGTCAGCTTCACTAAGGCTTGGAACAGGAACTAATCTCCCTCCATCTCCAACTTGCTTGACAAAGCTCTTGGTGGCAGCAGCAAACATATTAATATAGTATCAAAATGTCACCAACTGCAACCCTCAGAGAACAAATCCATATTTTCAAAGAAAATTAGGCACAGAACTAAGCCTTACTTGATTTTAAATATAATTATACACATTAAAAATACAAAGCATGGTTCCACCAAGTAGTTTACAGTGTACAGTTCACAACACTGCCTCCCCTGGTGTGCTCAGGTGATGAATTATAGATCAACAGCGTAAAATGATCCACAAAGAGTAAGTGTAATTTGAAATTACAGTCTATAGCACTACAATAAACACAGAAAACTAGTAATTTTAAAATACTACCAATGTCCTTAAAGAGGGTCAAGGTTAATAGTAGTTTGCCAGTTTCAAAGGAAACATATAGCCCTACAGGGAACAATGCAATTAGGCACTAACATTATCCCTGGACAACAGCTACAGTGTATCTAGTCCAAAGGGAATTCTTTGGCAAGTCCACCATGCCAACTTTGGCAACAGAAAAGTGCTGTTTTCAGTCCTTATGTTATACAGTTTATTGTTTGAACATCTCATTCATTTTCCTTGTATGATTACAAAGCCAAGTGATTAATATAACAAAATCGCAGACTAAAGAAAACAATTGTATGCAGATCTTTATAAAATACTAAATGAAAATCACATTACATATAAATAACTGTATGAAGTCTGACGTGTAGGGTTCTTACTCTGAGGATGGCACTTGGACATCTCTTTGAAAGAGGATCCTGCTGCATTTATTTATTTTTTCATCATTACCCCAGTTACTCAACTTTTAAAGAGAGTTATATACGGTTTTGGCTTGCTTTAAAGGAATCTTGTGGCTAAAAACACGTTTTAGAAACAAACCTGAGTGCTAAAATATTGTAATGCCATAGTTACGTGGATGTTAATATACAGGGCCCAACACAAATAATCATAAGCCTGTAATTCTGTAACATAACAGTATCACACTCAAGCACACCATACGACATTTTAGGTGAAATGTTCAAATTAAAACTATAAATTATTACACTCGTATTATTACCTACCAACCACACTCAGACAGGCCATACTTCTGCCGGACTCTGTATTTTGAAATAGTGGCTTTGTGGTATTCAGAAGATATTCATTAAAACATAACATTAGTGGATAGTAATCAATACACATACACATATAGAGACAGTAGGGAGAGGAAGAAAGAATAGATTTAATTCAAGCCTCAAATAATACAAATCAATTTGATTAGATTCTGGACATCTTTTAAAAATATATTTTCAAATATCCAGGGCTCGCATGGACCCGCAAACAGTTTTTAATAATGTCCCTTCTGCGAACACTATTGTGCAAAGCAATTTTCCAGAACACCGGGGAAGCACACGGAGTCATTTCTGCAAGTGGCTTGCAAATCCCTAGAAAAGCGATTAGGCATCTCTGTCGCTGTCTGAGCCCTACCAAAGGTGGTGCATCCCAGGCAAACGCCATTACAACCAACACCACAGGTGTGCGGAAACAGCATTTAACTGAAATCTAGTCCACAGAAAAGCCTTCGTTTATACGTAAGGGGCTTTGGTGAGATCCGCAGACCCAGCATTTATCTCGCTACGAAAGCCTGTTAAGACAATGAAGCCCATCAGGCAACAGAGAAGGGGGGTCTCTGGACGTCCCCGCGAGCTCCTAAAGGCTGGGATCCGAGGAAAGAGCCTACCGCAGCCTTCAGGGGCTGATACACTGCGAGTCTCTAGCTTCGGGGCCAAGCCCAGGGGTGTTCTCTATTTGCATTTGGAATTTTGAATCTTTTTCTTAAAGTGACGCAGCCCTCATCCTTCCCCCGGCCAAAAAAAAAAAAAAAAGGGAGAGGCTGAGCTCAGGTCCCGCAGAGTCTGTGAGGCTTGCCGCCCGACAAGCGTGCCCAGGCAAGAAACGGTCTCCTTTCAAGGACACAGAACTGTGGCCTCAGTAAGGACAGAGGACAGGGTGGCCGAGAAGTACCAAGACCGCAGGGTGGGGAGAGGCAGGAGCAGAAGAGCCAGGCTTGGAAAAGGGGGCGGGGCCTGTAGGGATAGGGGCAGGGCCGGGCGCCAAGGAGACTGGGAACCGGTGGGCGGCGCCGAGGTTGGAGAAGGGCTAGACGCCGGGACAGCGAGAAGGCGTGGCCGGGAACCTCGACCGGCGCTGCCGCACCGAGGCCCCGCCTCTGCCCCCGCCTGTTCCCTAAGCAAGGGGGACGCAGGAGGGAAGCAATAAGGGGGGCTTGGAGAAAAGGAGGAGAGTTGGGGAGGAGGAGGCAGCGGCGGCAGCTCTGGAGCTCCTCTCTCGGGGACGGCCGACCCGAGGAGCGAGGACGTCGATTTGTACCGCTCTTCCTCCGGCCGCTGAGCCCTCCCTTCTCGCCATGTCCCAAAGCCGGCATCGCGCCGCAGCCCCGCCGCTGGAGCGCGAGGACAGCGGGACCTTCAGGTCAGCGCGCGGGAGGTTGAGGCCGCGCTTGGCAGGTCCGGGAGGGGTGGGCTAGAGAGACGGGGGCGGGTGACCCGGCTCTCCAGCGGCATTGTGGGTAAAGCCCCTTCCTGGCGCTTGGGCCCCCGCGGCTGCGGGCGGACAGGCTGGCGCTCGGCCCCGCCCTCTCGACGGCGCGCGGGCCAGGGTCTGCGGCCAGGACCCGCCCCTCCTGCATCTGTCGTTGACTTCTTTGGTGGAGGTGATTCGCGGCCGCCCGGGGATTGGTATTTGCTGGGCTAGTACTGAGAGGCTGCAGCACCTCTGTTCCCCAGCGAATCCGCTCTGTCCTCATTCAAGTTATGTCCCTAAAAACCTCCCTCACTCTGGACCCCCTGCCCCGTGCCCGCCGCAGTGGGGCCGGAAGATGGAGCACCTTGCCAGCTCTGGCCGCCGAGAGCTTTGGCGCCTCCCGCGTCACTGTTGATGATGGTCAGAACTAGCCTCTGTAGGCTTCTGCTTCTCTCCCCACTTTGGCATGCAAACCACACCTTTTTCTCTTTGCAGTTTGGGGAAGATGATTACAGCTAAACCAGGGAAAACACCGATTCAGGTATTACACGAATACGGCATGAAGACCAAGAACGTCCCTGTTTATGAATGTGAAAGATCCGATATGCAAATACACGTGCCCACTTTCACCTTCAGAGTAACCGTTGGTGACATAACCTGCACAGGTCTGTATGCAGAGTTAACTCCCGACGACCATGCGAGTTGGCGGTCAAAACTTGGTATTGATTATCAGTTGAACAAGTGCCCTTTTTACTGGAGACAGCTGTGAGGAGCAGATTCTTGAAACAGATCTCTCATCTCAGGCCATTGGGATTTTCCAACTTCATCTGATTCTCTCCCTAATTTTCTCTTTCCCAGATACCAAGAGAAGCTCAGAAACATCCTAGGATCCTCCTAGGTTCTTCCTCCAAGAATTAGGGTGAGGCAGGAAAGGTTCTTGGAGCAGCCATAGCTGGATCAGTAGGTGCTGTCAAGTTTTATGGTTTGGTAGGTTATAATAGATGCCAGAGGGCATGACCCCAGAATTTTCTGAGCCTCTCCCCTTTCTGTATGGACTCATTCAGCACTTCAGGCCTGTTGTGCCACATTGGATTCTGTATCCAAGCAAAACGAGGAAGGCAAAAAGCTTGGATACTCCATATTGATTGTGTAACAGCTTCTAGTTCCTGACACTGTGCTGGTGTTTTAATAAGCTGTCATCTCCTCTTTTAATTCATGGGGCAATAGGCTCAGAGAGCTAAGAAGTAACATGCCCAAGATCACATGGCAATGATGTTTCAGAGTTCAAACTCACATTTATGGTTTGTGAGTTTGAGCAAGTAACTGAAGCTGCCCCGTTTGTAAATGTAGACATTTTATTTCTTATGTATCTAGTTAATTGCAAACAAAAAATATTGAATAGTAAATTTAACTTGGAAGAATGTCAAGAAACAAATTCAGCAGGAAAGCTCAAATTCTACCATCTGATAATCTGAAGGCATCATTTGTGTCCCTGAAAATCTTGAGTCTGCTGTTTTCATTGAAGCCACGTTAAGACACTTTTGAAGTTTCATTGTGTGAGGCCGGTGGATTGGGGGTATTAGCTGGAAGATTCTTTATATGAACCATAGGATCAACAATGCATTATTTGTTTTAGCTGGTCTATTTTTAAATATCAAGTGAAATTGTAAGAAAAAGCCTTTCCCCCCTTAGTGTATTATAGACCAGAGATTAACACCGTATGGCAACCATTCTGCCCGGGCGCCATCCTCTTCTTACACTGCCCTACCTTCCTGTACAAGCTCATCTGCTCCGCAGCTTCAAGTACTATCTAAAGGCTGATAGTTCTGAAATCTCTCTCTTCCACCCAGGGCCAGTTACAGAACAGTGTATCAGCTTGTGTATTCTGGATGTTTTTGCTTAGATGACCCAAAAGCACCTCAGTCTTTCATTGACTCAAACTGAATCCGTCTTCTCTCAAATTTATTCCCCCTGTTTTCCCGAGTTTAGTAAAGGCACAAGGCGCTGCCATCCCCATTGGCTTATAGTAGAAATTTGGGTCTCATCTTCTTGACTCCTCCTCCTCCCCTCTGCCTCTTGTCCAGTCTGTCACCAAATCTTACTTCCTAAATATCTTGAATCTGTCGGCTTCCCTCCTCTTTCCATTGCTACTGATTGGGCGACCGTCATCTACAACTTGGATTATGGCTACAGCCCTGTAGCTGTTCTTTCAGTTTCTAGTGTTGTGTCTATTCTCCACATGACAACTAGAGTCTTCTTTCTGGCCTTAAAGTCTGTTCATGTACTTCCTCTTGTTAAAATCCATCCATTAGTTTCCCCATTTGTCCTCTGGACAAATACAGATTTGCTAATAAGACTTAGAATCTTGCTGTTCCAAATATGATCAACAGCAGCGGTGATATCACCTGGGCACTTGCCAGACCTCCTGGATCAGAGTGTGCATTTTAACAAAATTCCTAGACATTTCCTATGCACATTAGAATTTGAGAAGCACGAATTTAGGAAACTGTTCTCTGACCTCTCCTCCTACCCTTTATCTCAAAAATTTCTTCCTTCAGGCCCTTACAGTACCCAGCTATGTGGGGCTCTGGAGAAGAACACCATGCTCCTTACCTTTGAGCCTTTGCCTCTTTTCTCTGCCTAGATTATTCTTAACCCGTAGCTTTTTTCACATTACTAGCGTTCACTCACCTTTCAAGTCTACACTTAGTTATCTCTTCCTTCCTTCATAATGCCTTTCTGAATTCTTGCCACGAGCAGGGGAGCTGCCCCTTTCGCGGCTTCCCCTGCAGCCTGCACCTGGGCCTGCCATCACATACACCATCGCATATTTCACATGCCTGTTTGCTGAGCCGGTCCCACACTCGGGTTTGTGCTCTTTAAAGGTAGGGACTCTGTTTAGTTCTCTACTGTATCTCTAATACCTATGTTAGTGGATAAATGAGTGTGGTGTATGTGTGTCTTCCGACCCTCGAGGGTCACACTTGAAATTTATTCCCTGTCTCCTTTCCTTCACCAATGGAATGGACACGAGTACTCTGGTACCACTTTTGAAGGGTTCTCAACACCTGGTTTGGACACAGAAGGAAAAAGATTGAATTTACCATTTACTAGGTGTGATCGCTTACTGAAATTAGGCATCCGTATTAGTGATTAGTCAGGCCTCTCCCCTGCCGCCACCTTGGCTACCCATGTAAGGGATGCAGATCGAATGGAAGACACATAACATAAGCTCTCATCTTACTCCCCGTGTAATTCTTCCCACACTGAACACAATATATAGGCATGACTGTTTAGCTCAAGAAGAGTTTTGATCCAGCGTAGGACAGGCTGTTAGAATAAAATTGTGTGCAATTTGCTGTAAGTGGCACCCTTAAAGAAAACTTCTTGCTGCAGAATTTCTCTCGGTAAATAGGGAAAGAGTAAAATACAAAGTTGCATTTCTTCAGAAGGTATGACATGGTTTACTTTATTATCATTTTATGTAATAAACATAATGTAGACATAATGTGGATTTTTAATTCAGGTATGCATAGAATTAACATAGAAATTATGGGTTTTTAAATGTATTTCATGTAGTGAATACTTTATTACAGCATATTCGTAATATGTTTTTTATTACTTAGTGTGTGTATGTAAAACCTGTAATGACTTTGTTTTGTATTATGAAAACATCTCTGCAAGGCTCTCATTTTCACAGTGTATACTTCGTTGTTGTTCTTAACCTTAATTCAGGTGAAGGTACAAGTAAGAAGCTGGCGAAACATAGAGCTGCAGAGGCTGCCATAAACATTTTGAAAGCCAATGCAAGTATTTGGTGAGCTAAATTTCTTTGTATTCTGCAGCTCAAAAATGTCATGGCTGAGGTAAGATTAAAAGTTTGAACCTGCTCACAAAAGCAGCAGAGTGAACAGTTTTTAGTATCTAGCTCTAAAATCTTATTCCTTGCAAAAATATATCATCCATTAAAGACAGCCTTATCCTTAAGAAATTAAATGAAGGCTCTCTTGAGCTAGGCTTTCCTCCCCCACCCCAGATGGGGTGCAGTAGTACAAAACTGGAGTTTTTCTGGCCAGTGTCTTAGCATGTCAAGACTCATTATTTCTACACTGTGGAAAGCAAGGTATAAGGGGGAAAAGATCAGCTAAGCACACTCTTTCAGAAATTCCAGTTTGGAAGGAGACAAAAAGATTTCCTTTTATCATAGAATGTATGCGAAATATAAGAGGATCCTAAATGGGATTTTCATTCTTGACATACCTTTCCAAAATAAATTTGTTATCACTTTAGGTACTTTTGGGGATTATTGGTCCTAGAGCACCTCATGAGTCATAAACTGGTGTCCTTTGGCTTTTAAAGGGCACATCCTGGAGGATTGTGTTCCTTCAATTGCTTCTCTTTACATGCACTCAGATACATTTGGAGTACAGTTTGGCATATGTGATCCTGGCTGATAGCAGAAGCCCATGGGATTTTAGGATGGGTTTTTTGTTTCCCAGCCATAGCAAAACTTTTGACTTAGGGATGTATTTAGGTTCATATGCAGTGCTGCTCCCTTTTTCTAAGTTATCCTAACCAGTTGGATCGTTTAGAAGTAACCAGTGTGAGCTTTGGATTTCCTAAAATGGTTCTTGGTTCTTTAGGGTCATACAGTATAAGTGATTTATGCCAGCATTTTAGACACACCACATGGAATGGCAGGTATTGGGTCTCCCCCTTGCTGGTGATGGCCATGTGCTTCTTGCACATGGCACTTCACTTTGTCCACAAAAAAGGGCTAACACACTTTACTATACACAGGGAGGCAAACGTAGGTTTACAGTAGTGAGTATGCAAAACAAAGTTTATTCATGTATTATTATTTATTAATTGTATTGTTTTCCATATGAGCAACTGTAAACCTGCTTTTGCTGCACCCAGTATATTTGTGCTACTTGACAGGTAAGGTGGGAATTACTAAGCTGTAATGAGGCCTCAAGTGGCCTGATTTAGTACAGAGACTTTCTCCCTTCTCCAGCACAATTATTTGGGAAGCTTAGGCATGCGGCATTGTAAGTAAGTACGTGTATCTCATCAGCCTATATAAAGCATGAAATTCTGGTAGAAAAGAAACGTGAGGAAGTGGCAATAACTAAATCTAATTTGCCATGGAAGAAATGCCTCTTCAGTTGCCTAGTGGTAGTAGCCTTGGAACGTAGCTTATTCAGTGTCAGGCATCCATCACTCAAGTAACTAGTGTTTCAAACTACTTAGAAGAAATGGTTCTTTTTTTCCGTAATCACAATCCTCATGTGCTGAAACCAGATTCATGCATCTATTGTATGTAGGATGTATGTAAATCTTAGGAGGATTTTCCTAGCATAGAGCAGATGATATATCAAACAGATTTTCTTCCATTATTATCTAAATGAAAAAAGCTCCATTCATGGTTTGTATTATTCACGGGCTAAATTTCCTGAGTCTTCCCTTTTTGTGTAGTTGTAACAGTAGTGTGCTTTATTTAAATACATTTTATTTAACACCAATTATATACAATAAGTACTACAAGGTTTATGAAGGTAAGTAATACATAGGGCCTACCATCAAGGATTTTATAGTCCAAACGGGAGAATTGCAGAGAGGGATGGTCAAATTTCATGCATTTGTAAGAGGGTATAAGTTATGCTAAAATAGTTTGCTAAAGAAAGTATCAAACCAAATGTTATAGTGCCTCAAAGGAAGAAGAAATTATATTCCATTGGGATAAAAGGGCAGGCTTTTTAGAAGACGTGGCATTGGAGATATACCTTGGATGATGGCTAGTTCGGATTCTCATGGAAAAAGTGGGAGAGAAGGGTATTCCATGCAGAAGGAACAGCGAGAAAAGGCATAGAGGGTAAAGTAGAAAATGTCTGTCATGTGTTTAATAATTTGGAGGAAATTATTTGATTTTATAACACTTTAAAAAAATGTTTAGCTTTGCAGTTCCTGATCCCTTAATGCCTGACCCTTCGAAGCAACCAAAGAACCAGCTTAATCCTATTGGTTCATTACAGGTAAGTTGTACAGTTTTTCCACACTTAACATCTTGTCTACTAAACAAAGATTTCATAAATTGATAAAAATCAAGGGCTAAGACAAGGAATTAATATTTTAAAGATATGATGACACAATATTTTGTTTTCCAAGTTACAATCATTAAATAATACAGTGCTAACTTGACATTATTTTTCTATTTATTTATGTTTTGGATTTTCTTCCATAAGCAGTATCAGCCTTCCGTTTGTGGAATTTGCATTTGAGATCAACAGGACCTCAGTGCACATGGCTAGAGTGTTTTATACTTGAAGAATATTTCTTGCCACTCTTGTGACAAACGTTTCCACTTCTGTTGAGACAGAAGACTTTAAAGAACCCAAATTGGGTCACCTAATTCAAGAATAGGGAAGTAGTCTGTTTATTTACTTATTCTACCAGATATGTGTTTGTGTGTATGCACAGCTTTGAATTTGTGCATGCAGAATATTCTTCTTGCAGGTTATCCATGTGCTCTGTTGGACAACTCCAGTTCCTGTTATCTGGCCAGTCCTTTGGTCTCTCTCCTGTTCTGTTGAGTTATTGTGTAGCTTTTTCCCTCTTTTCCCAACCTTATTCAAGTCTGTTTGCTGGCTCTACTCCTCTTTTGCTCTTGATCAAATACAGTAGTTCACCAGTGGTAGGTATGGGAGTCTATAGGTAGGAGGGGACAGGCTTTAGGAACTGTTGGTAGTGAGACTTATAGATAACCTCTCTAATGTTTCCAAAGAAGGCAATAGTAGTTTCTCTTCCTATTTGAACTCTTTGATATCAGCTCACTGTGGCTCAGTGGAAGAACAGCATTCATAGCAGGAAACTGCTTCAGTTTGGTATTGTGGACTTACAAGCTATAAAATGCAGGAAACCTATGGTAAATACAGGGTCTTCCTAATTTTTCCATTGCAGAATAGCATTATTCCTTTAAACAAATAAACAGAAATGGGATCAAAATCATGAAAGAAGATCATTTATGTGAGTGAACCATTGTGTAGTAAATACTACTAAAGCCTCATCTCAATTTTCTAGGAATTGGCTATTCATCATGGCTGGAGACTTCCTGAATATACCCTTTCCCAGGAGGGAGGACCTGCTCATAAGAGAGAATATACCACAATTTGCAGGCTAGAGTCATTTATGGAAACTGGTACTTAACATCTTTTTACCCTTATATAGTTTAAAACATTTGAAGTATTTTCAGATGATGAACGGCAAATAGAAATTTCTGTTGTGATAACTTCTCAAATTTTTCTGTTGAGAATGAATTGATACACTCCTGTTATACTGTCTCTAACTTATGGATGAATTTAAGTATAAATATTTGGCTTAAGAATACTTCTTAATTTGACATTTTTAAAAATCATACACTGCTAATGGAAACTCAAATGAATAATTAATCCCTTAAACAGTCCTTACTGATGTACTAGTGACCTAAAAAAAAAAATCTCGTTGGTGTTTTAGCAGCTATTCTAGAAGATTATAGTGGAAAACATCTTGTTTACATTCGAAAACAGGATGATTAATAAGATGCTAGTTGACAAAACATGACAGTGAGATAAAAATAAAGTAGAAATTATTCTTTTAAATTATAGCAACTTCTATGTCATGAAGGCCATAAACTATGAGAAAAAAAAGAAGTCGCGTAAGTCCTAGCCAGTGTATCTCAGTTCGTTGGAGCATTGTCCTGTAACCAGAAGGTTGTGGATTTGATTCCCAGTCAGGGCATATACCCGTCTTGCCGATTCAATCCGCAGTCCAGGCACGTATGGGAAAACAACCAATCGATGCTTCTCACTTGCATCGATGTTTCTCTGTCTCTCTTCCTCTGTCTCTAAAAGCAGTAAGAAAAATGTCCTCAGATGAGGATTAGAAAAAAAGTGACTTAATAAAGTACTAGTGAGGATTCCTGTTCTAGCTTTTTTAACATGTTTTTATCATTTTAAAGTGGCTTGAAAGAGAATTTTACCTTGGCTACGTTTCAACTAATAAACAACTTTTTGCCACTGAGAGGGAGTGTGGGACACTGCAGGACCCTCGGCCTCTGTTCTTGATGCACCCGTTGGTTTGCAAGGTAGCAGATTACTTAATTTCTCTGGGCCTCAGTTTTTAAATCTAACAGAAGCATGGAAGGAGATAAAATATATGGTATCTTTCAACTTCAGTATCTCCTTATTCAGGTTAGAGAAATTCTGCATAATTGTCAGTTTATAGGAAATTGCAAGCAGGCAATAAACATTGAGAGACAAAAGTTGTAATTCAAATATACCTTGATAAACTTTGAATATTTCATCAGAATTAAACCAGATATAATTAAAACCAGACGTAAGGAAATATAACTGTTAAAACAAAGTATAACTATTAAAAATAAATCATTAAAAGAAACACCTTTGAAAATCTAAGATTTAATAGCTGTATGGATTGCAATATGCAAAGATGTCAGGTCAATAGAAAATAGACTAGTATGTAAAAACCACGAGCCCCGGCTGATGTGGCTCAGTGGATTGAGCTCTGAACTGTGAAGCAAAGGGTCACCAGTTTGATTCCCAGTCAGAACACATACCTGAGTTGCGGGCCAGGTCCCCAGTAGAGGGTGCGTGGGAGGCAACCATACGTTGCTATTTCTCTCCATCTCTTCCTCCATTCTTCTCTCTCTAAAAATAAATAAATAAAATCTTTAATAAAAAACAAACCATGAGGTTGTTCTCTGATTAAATGCAATATACATTTGATCATTCTCTGGACACGTTTCTAAACCTACCATTTCTTTTTCTTTATTTAGGAAAGGGGGCATCAAAAAAACAAGCCAAGAGAAATGCTGCTGAGAAATTTCTTGCCAAATTCAGTAATATTTCTCCAGAGAACCACATTTCTTTAGTGAGTAATGATCATACAGCTATGATGTTAATGTGATTAAGCATCTCTTGCTGTAGGAAGCTTTCCTAGATTTCTTGTTGTACAGATACTTCAGAGTTGCAGTTTTTGAAAATCTCTTCACTGTTTAGTTACACACTACCCAGTTTAACCTGCTTGCTATATGTGAGCCAGGTCACAGGGTGGCCGGGTCAGAGGGCTTGGGAGACACAGTGAAATTAAGACTACTGTGGGATCTAAAGAAAATAGGCCTGTAGAACTATTTTTGCCTTCAAATTGACAGTGCATTACATCCCTTCGTTTATTCATTCATTTAACCACTCAGCAAACATTTAGTGAACATATACTCTGTGCCAAGCTTTGTGCTGGGTACTGGCATTCAGTGAATAAGACAGTCTCTGCTGCTAAGAAGTTTGTAGCCTACTGAACGAGAGAAAAGAACCCTACAGACTGGTCCTGACAGAGAGTGCCACAGGGACATAGAAGGCATCCAATTAAGGCAGGGGTTGGGGAAAGCTTCTTGGAGGAAGTACTATATGAGTGAAGACCTGTACGATGAGAATAGGGGGAAAGAATTCCAGAGAGGAGAAAGCAGTAGTGAAACATCATATGCAGTCTGGGATCCCTAAGTAAGTTGGTGTGGCTGGAGCATGGAGTTGGAGGGAGTTTCAAACTGTACAGCCAGTAAGGTTAAGAGGAATGAAATCTTGCAGGAACTTCTGTATTAAGGAGACTCAACTTTATCCTGAAGATAGTACAAAGTCAATAAAGGATTTTAATCTGGAAGAACAGGATCTAATTTTACAGTAGAAGAGAACTCACTTGGCTATGTTATGAAGAGTTAATGATTATTAGAGAGACCCTCGAGAATGCTGTTACACAAAGCAGATGAGAAATAGCGGTGGCCTAAATGAAAGGGCTGGCAGTAAAAATGGCAGGTTTAAAAGTTAGAAAACTAAAGTGCAGGGGTCATGGTGATTGATTGGATATGGGGAGTAAGGAAATAAGAGGAAATAAACATTTTTAGCTTGGCAACGGATTAGATGGTGCTAACTGTTCATTCATCTGGGGAACACAGAAAATGAGTACGATTTGAGGAGGAGCAGATAATGGGCTAAATGTAGGATACATTGAGTTTGGAAGACAGCTAAGTAGAAGAAATGCAGATGGTTATAATAGAAAAAAGTATGCTCAACTTCATTCATGCAAGTTAAACAATATACTGATTTCATGTTTTAGATTGACACAATCTACAAAGTTTGATAATACTTGATGTTGGTGAGGGTATGAGGAGAAAAGCACCGTTCAAGACATTTGACGGGAGTATACAGTGATTCAAAAATCAATTTGAAAGTATTTATCAAAATTAAAAGCATGCACGTTCTTTGACTCAGCAGTTGTACTTGCAAAAATTAATCTACAGAGAAAGTCATTTCAGTGCAGAGTTTTATTGTAACATTGTTATTGAAAGCAAGAAACCAAAAACAGCCTAAAACCCTTAGTTGGAGGCTAATGAATATAGTGCATATACATGCACTGAGATGAGAAAAATGAGTAAGATATAGAAGAGGAAGCTATCATTTTTGTTTAAAAAGATTATATATATATGTATGTATGTACTTGAATGTGCATAGAACATTTACAGAAGGGTACTGAAGAAATGTTTTAACAGCAAGTACCTCTGGGAAGTGGAATAGATATCTTTGGGGAAGGGATGGTAAGGAAAAGAGACTGTTTTTCATTAGCTGTTTGTTCTTATTGCATGGTTTTTTAACCATGTGAATAAATTATGATTTTTTTAAAAACCAATTTGTTTAAAGTTTCAATCAGGGAATGTAAAATTCTATTTAGTAAATTTTACAAATTGCTCAATTCTGGCCATCCCGTTTATCTTTTGAAAATTTCTTTAACCCTGTCTGGGCTCATTAATAAATACGACTAAGGACAGATTTCCCTACCTCAGAAAGTAGCTGGTTTTGGTTTCATGAATGTCATAATATAGGAAAACAATCTGAAAACCATATACTAACATGGAAACATAAAACATTGTAAACACAGGTAAAAAGGGAAGGATATCAGGGAAAGTAAAGAAAAGAGGAAAAGGAGAAAAACATAAACTCATTTGGGTTCTGGGATATAAGTCTGAAAAGAACTTTTTGACGTCCTGCCATTCATTTGAATAACTTGTTCTTCTCTAACCCATCATGCACATTTTACCTTTTCTACAGTTTCTTTGTTTTCTCCTTTACAGCTTTTGGTTACAATGATTGGTATTTAATACAAGAAATTATAAAGATATGAAAATTGCTTTAATTTTAATTCATAGATTGCTGTGCTGGTCAGATGCAATTATTTGTGAATGTGTTTACAGTGCTCTTAAATATCTTATCTGCCTTATGACTATCAGAGGATTTGACTGCAAGACATTTGTACTGTACGAGAGTATTTTTAAATACTCCCAGTATATTATTGCATGTGCCTCTCTTTTCTTAACATCATGGTATTTGTTAAGTGTCTGTACTTGTTGCTGTTGTCTAATTTAAAAGAAAGTTAACCAAATGGCATTCATTTAAACATGCTTGATAAAGTATTAAATATGAGTGCCTTCTAAGTACTTTCAGTTATAGTTTGGAAACCAGTCCCAGTTCAGAGTCTTAGTCTTCACTTCTGTTTTTCAGACAAATGTAGTAGGACATTCCTTAGGATGTACTTGGCATTCCTTGAGGAATTCTCCTGGTGAAAAGATCAACCAACTGAAAAGGAGCCTTCTCAGTATTCCAAATACAGATTACATCCAACTGCTTAGTGAAATTGCCAAGGAACAAGGTTTTAATATAACATATTTGGATATAGGTATGAGGTTTTGGTTTTTTGGCTTATCCCAAAACATGTTTCTTTTAAAAATATGTTTAAGAAACAAAAACTTCTATTATAATTGGTTTCATTGATCAGGGATTCTAACTACATATAATTGCCACAGCAGTATTATATATTATTGATATGTTCCATTCTTATAAAATAATGTTAACAGTATCTAACATCTCTACAGTTGTAATAATAAAAACAGTAATAGCTAAGATTTATAGAGTTTTACTATGTGCCAGGCACTGTTTTAAGGATGTTACATAATAACTGATTGAATCCTCACACTAACCCTATGAAGTAGGTTCTATATATCCGTGAAGAAAGTAAGGCACAAGAAGGTTGAGAAATTTGTCCAAGATCACCCAGTCAGTCAGTGGTGGAGACAGATACACTGTCTATTAAACTAGCCCTGATGGCAAGATTGACAAATAAGAAGGCACCGACGTTTCTAGAACAAGTAGGGAGTTTGTGGGGGCAGTCCTCTTTCCCCATTTTGTCACTCTATGCCAAGTCTGTGAGATAAATGAGGGCAAGTCAATTTATAGCTTTATCCTATTATGTCTATTATCTTCTCTCTTTAGCCCTTAATCGTTTAGGTAGACAAATGCGGAAAGACTGGAAAGCAAGTCACAGTTAGGATTTGCTTTTAATGTATAAAGCTGGCTAATGTGCACATATGTGTTTATTGTCTTGATTTAACATCGGTGTAATATGTGAAGAATTTGATATTCCTTATTCCAGCCTCAGTGAGCTGTGGGGACCCGGCTTGTCAGAGCTACTAGAACTGGGAAGTAGGGCGTTTAGGGAATGAAAGAACTTCTGATTGTCTCAGCTACTTTAGGATCAAATGATGGGGTCAAGTGCAGTGTCTTAATATACTGAGAATGAGGCCAAACCTGGGAATATAGTACAGATAGAAGGTAGGAAAGGTGGCTGATGGGGCAGGCAGCGGGGAGCAGCTGCTTGATAATAGGTGTGGTGTTTCCTTGCGGGTGACGAAATGATGGAAATGTTTCATAACTAGATAGAGGTGGTGGTTGCACAACGCTGTGAATGTACTAAGTGCCATTGCATAGTTCACTTTAAAAATGGTTAATTTTATGTTGTGTAAATTTTACCTCAATTAAAAAAAGTAAAAGAACCTAAATGCTAGAACTAGAAAGTCTCTTCAGGCATTAAATATTCCGATGATGTCTGGACATTTTCTGCTACAGTGACTAACTGAAATAACATTTAATAATGACCACTTTAAACAAATTATGGCTCGTGTGTTTCTATTTCTTCCCTTAGCTTTTTAAATTATCTTTAGTAAGAGCAATTCATCATTTGATGGGAAAATTTGTTTCCTGGGTTTGGGTATTGTTTTTAAAACACCCTCCAATGGTGTCCAACCTGCAGCCCGTGGGCCATATGTGGCCCAGGATGGCTGTGGATGCAGCCCAACACAAAATCGTAAATTTACTTAAAACATTATGAGCTTTTTGTGCAATTATGTGTCACAATGCATTTAATGTGTGGCCCAAGACAACTGTTCTTCCAGTGTGGCCCAGAGATGCCAAAAGGTTGGACACCCCTGGACCCATGTATAAGATGGAACTGGACTCTTTGCACAAATTATAACCGAAGAACATGAAGGCACAAAGGAGGTCTCGCCCTGAACTGTGTATTTCCTAGTTTGGGCGGGTACTGAAAATAACCCTAGACTTCATAATGAAAAATGCGGTCTCCCAAGTTCTGTAGCCAATGTTTTTTTCCCCTTTGTAAAAAGTTGCTGTGGTTCAGTAATTTGCAGACACTGTCTAACTAGCCACATTAGAATTACCTTAGGAGCTTTAAAGAAAAAAAAAAAAGCAAGAATCTGGCATTTTTAATCCTCACCCCTGCATTTCTGACTGAGTAGGTTGGAGTGAGGCCTGGGCACCTTTACTCCTTTAAAGTTCCCTCATGACTGTGAAGCACCTCTGTGTCTGAGAACTGCTGTCACTGAGCAGTTGTGTTTTGTCTTTTGTTTGTACAAGAATATCAAAGATGATGATTAAGTGAAGTAGTCTATCTACCATGGATGCTTACAGAGAAAAACAATGATTAAAAACTAGTGTTTATACAAAAGATCTACTTCATACACACTCATTAACCGTCATGTTTGAATCTGTCATTACAGAAGAACTGAGTGCCAACGGGCAGTATCAGTGTCTCGCTGAACTGTCCACCAGTCCCATCACAGTCTGTCATGGCTCTGGGATCTCCTGTGGCAATGCACAGAGCGATGCCGCTCACAATGCTTTGCAGTATTTAAAGATAATAGCAGAAAGAAAGTAACCTTGGAGCAACTTAGAAAACCCTTCGGCAGCACATAAAAAGTTCTTCTTCCACCCCTTCCCAAGTAAAACGTATCATGTTTGAGTTTGTGTGTTGTTTCTAAATCTCTTTCATAGATTCCATCAACACTACAGATTTAGTTATCTCCTAGTTGTTACTGAACTCTTTTTAATGGCTTCAACTTTGTATTGGTATATTGTATTTATAAACTTTGTACCATAGGCAGAGTGTAGCACCCATTTGACAAAGTCATGTACATAGAAGGAAGAAACTGCATGTGTATTGATGATGATGATGATGATGATGATGATGATGATGATAATGAAGATGATGAAATAAAACTTCTAACAACAGCCTTTTGTACTGGTTGCTTAACCTCTTTGTCCAAGGCTTTGAAAGGGAATTCGAAGGAAGCCCCTTAGGCTTTGAGTGTTGAGAAGTGGACTAACAGGCTCATACTGAATGTGATTGTTAAATGTCAGGAACATGATTGGTTTGCTGTATTTGAATCCATGTAATAAAGAGCTGTTGTTATAATGGCTTCTACTGATTTTATTAAAGTGTTACTGACTTGACTGCAGCCCCATTCTTCTTAGCCATTCTTGTGAGTAACATAATGTGGCTGTTTTGTTCTTTACACATCCCTAGTTTACTTCCAAAAGTCAAAGATTAAAAAAAAAACCTATGTCCTAAGCAGAAATGTACAAGTATATGTGTAACTCACTTCCATATTTTCTCTAAGTGTTTACAATGCCGTCTTTTTCTTTGACGTAACCATTCATCAGTGAATTATTATTACTGTAGTTGAAAAAGTATTAGTAAAATTACAGAAAAAAAACTCAGTGTACTCAATTCCATTATAAGAAAATGTTTCAAACAAAGCAGTGAGAGAGAAAAGTTTGGGAAGGAAGTGTCATGATTTTACTTTGTCCTCTCTATTTTTATGTATCACCCTGTGACCCCTCAAGCCTGCCATCTGTCAGCTCCAGCTGATGGCCCTGCCTTTGTAGATAGGTGGCAGTCCCGGCCTGTTCAGAGCCCAGGGAGAGCCTCAGAGAGGAAGAGAGCTCTGAGTGAGGCTGGACAGTAAGAAACTAGGAAAATTCCTGGGCAAGTGGAATGGGGAAACTGAGGCAAGATTACTAACAAGGCCAAACAATTTGAACTTACAGGCAGCTAGTGAATCACGGATCTTATCTCCCCTAACCAAGGACACTTGAGAGCAAATGGTTTAGACCTCTCCTCTCTAACCAGCGAATACATAGCTTAAATCACCCTGGTCTGGGAAATAGAGGACAGAGACCCCATCGATCCCATTTGTGTCAGCCAAACCCAAGGACAGATGAACTCAGGGACAAATGACAAGAATCCAATTAGAGCCGGACAGACTCAAGATGAAACAGTAAAGCAGACCAAAAGAATAATCCCAAATTCCCCTATGTGCTCATTTCGATGCATCAGTATATTAAAAAAAAACAAAACATGCACCTGGACACCTGACCAGTATGCTGCTGAAAACTCTCCCTAAGATTCCCACCTGCAAGAGAAAAATTAAAAACTGTCAGCACAAAGGGTACCAGTGTGGCCTCTCTGGAGCACACCCATGCTTTTTCTTGGACGTGAACTCTTAAGTTTCTCCTAAGCTCTAAGGGTCCCCAGGAGACTTGCAACAAGGGGAACAACAGGCAGCGGCAGCTTCATCCGGGCCTATCCCCTGAGCCTGTCTCCTCGGCCTCTTTTTCTCTGACTCACCAGTGAGCTGTGAGCAGCCCCACCTTGGCTCATTCCTTTCCAATAATATTTCTAAGGAGCCAAATCACAGCACAGCCTAGGCTCCCGTTGCTGCTTCTACCCTAAGCTCTTCCTTTGTTTCACTGTCCCCAGCTTTAATAAATGTCCTCTCTAAATCACCTGGACTGATATTGGGAAATCTTCCCTGTACGAAGCCAAGAACCTGCACCCTACAGGCCAACCTGAGGCAGACCGGCTCCCAGCTGGTCCGTGTCCGGTGGCATGAGCAACTGCGGGTTTTGACAATCTGAAGTGTTAATCCAGCAGGAAACGGGTAACAAGGATTTTCCTGTCTGGGGAAACAAAATCATACTTGAAAGGAATCTTTTGACAATAATAAAATTACATAATAAAGGAAAATCAGCGTATGTAACAACTCAGAGCATTTAGGTTCATTTTATCAGCTATCTATGACATTGAATATTAGATACTTTTTGGTGAGATGAAGGAATACAAAGAATGTAAACAGTTCATGCATAAACAGGAGCTTGTGGGTTATTAAGACTGGACTGATCTTAGGGGTTTTTTTAAAGCTCTGGAATATAGAGAGGGCACAATGAACTCTTAAGAGACAACAGTGGATTCTTCTGCATAGTAAAATGTAAGGAGGGAAAATTGGGGGAGATTTCACAAGAGAAAAAAAGGATGAAGTCTAAGTGAGAGAAAGGACAATATAATTTTGTTCTAAATAGTTCAAATGCACTGATACAATGAGATATGAGTATAAGGTGCCCAGGAGACCCGGCTTCTGGTCTGGAGGGAACAGGTATTGTTGAGGACACTGTTCCAATGTCCCCTCTGTCAGACTTCAAAGGATTTGCTGCACCATCAGGTGTTCTTTAACAGCATTTCATTAGGGCTCTTAGCCAATCTAACCGGTCATACCTGTTAACCATGTTAGGCGAGTTTCCCAAATATGCCTGTCAGATGCATCAGTGGTAGGAGAAGATGCTGTGTGGAGTTTATGACAAGTTTCAGTAAGAAAGTCCACAGTGTAGATTCACTCCAAGAGACTGAGGTCATGCCAACTATAGCAGAGAAGCAAACAGGTTTCAACACAAGACCTCGGGGGTGCTACTGCGCCCTGGTAGATGATGGAACGCTCGGTGGCCATGTAGCCAGAACCACTGATCCTGAGCTGCGTTTTTCTCAGTCCCATCAAGCGATTACCTTGGGTAAAGTCATGTGAGCAATTTAAGATGGAAGATACATTTGGGATCAAACGCAAATATGGCCAAAGGGCACTGTATGCTACATAAACATGTAGTGCAGACTCCCGTGTCCTCTACCTCTGTCACACCAGAGCCTTTCCCTCAGTTCACATGTCTTGCCTCTGATCCCGTGTGCCCAGGTAATGGGAGAGAAAAATGCCTGAACTTGACCCATGGATGGCTAAGGTCAGCACATGATGCAAACAAAATAAATGATGGCTATACCACAGCTCTACTTGGGGGCGGCCTTGAAAGAGCGGAGAGGGGAATTCTTCCAAAAGGCCGTTTCAGGCAGGACACCTTGCCATTCATGTATGTGGGAAGTGGCCCTAGGTCAGGACATACCGGGCAGTGGTAACTGGTTTGGCCAGCTGGTCAGGCGTGTGGAAACAAGTAGATCAGAAGATTGGGAACAAGGAGATCTGAGATAAAAGTATGTGGATGGGCACAAAGTGTGAAAATCTTCTTATTGCCTGTTGAACCATACCATAAAGTATCCATGATGCAAGAAGCCCTGAACAGCAAAGTTGATAGAGTGACTTGGCCAGTTGATATCATCCAGCATCTGGCATTGTGATAGCCACTGTGGCGGGGTTGAAGGCTATGAACGGGCCCAGTGAGATGGGCTCCCACACACTGAGGCGGATCTAGTTTCACCTAGACACGTATTCCATGTGACTCGCCTTTCCTGTTTGCAGGGCCTCAGCCAGCATCACTGAGGCTTCAGTGCTGCGTCCCGCGTTAGAGCAGAGGAGGACTGCATCAGCCAGAAGCTTCTAGCCTGAGAGAATGATGAAGCAGCCTGTTGAAGTCATAGCTAAAGAGGGTGCTATTCTCCAAGATAAAGTGTGCATTTTACATTAATGGCCTTTATATGATGCTGTGTTAGCAACAAGTAGAATAAATGGCATCCAGAATCAAGGAGTGGGAGCAGGCGTGACCCTGTTTACCATCGTTCTCAGTGGAGGATTTGCGTTTACAGCTCTGGGCTCTGCCGTTTAGAGGTCCTACTCCCCAGAGGTGAAACCATTCCACCAGCAGACCTAGAAGTAGTGTCATTGAACTTTAAGCCACACCTCCTGTACGGGTACTTCAGGTTTCCTGTGCCAAGAAACTAGCAGGTGAAGAGAGGAGTCACCATCCTGACAGGGACAAGTAATCTGATCATAAAGGGATGTAAGGCTGCTGGTACACAGTAGGAGCAAAGAGGAACATGTTGGTACCCAGGCAATCCAGCTGGGTGCCTCTTGGTGCTCCTTTGTCCAACTTTAATTGTAAAGGGACAAGCATAGCAGCCATGGTGAGCCTATGAGTTTATGGGACCAGGGACTTGGAACTGTTAAGAACCCGATAAGTCACTAAGACCAGCAGAAGTGTTAGCTAAGGGTGAGGGAAACCTAAACCGGATAGGAAAGGAGAAAGATGATGATTTGCAAGTTGTAGACCCAAGACAAGTTTCAGTGTTGGGGATTGGAGTTCATTCCACTTTCTTCTTAGAAGTTTCCTTTAGGGAAAGAGGCTGGAGTCCTGGAGAATGGTCCCAGAACTTATGGAAAGAAGTGCAATCAAGCAGTGCAAGGGGTGGACAGTAGTGAATGCTGTAGTCCCTCAACCAGGTCCCACTCCAGGGCTGAGGGACCTCACACACCAGGCTCAGGGAGTGCGGCAGGCAGGCAGCCCTCAGCTGTCAGCAGGACCAGTTACATAGCATATTTTGCTCTGTATAATGTGCACCCACGTTTCTGGCCCAAACTTTCAGGAAAAAAAATCTTCTCTTTGAATTTTTTAATTCAATTTTTTTATTCATGTAAATTCAGGTACGTGATTTTTGTATTGCAAAGAAATTTTAGCACTTATTTTTGAACATATTATGGTGCAAGAAATTTTATGTAACAAATAATTGCAAAACACAGGAACAGATACAAAGTATTTCAGGTACTACCCATGTATAAAGAGCATCCTTATTTTTCCCTCAAAAATTTGGGCAAAAAATGCATATTATACACAGCAAAATACAGTAATTTGTAGGGCCCAGTGCAGAACAGAAATGTAAGAATCATTGATTGAAATTATTAAGAATTTTAAGGCAGAGATAGCAGAGTATTAAACTAAGTGTGGGGATCTTTCCAAGCGTGGGCCCTTGTGTGACTACACAAATCACACAGCCTTGACGCTGGCCCTGCCTATCAGCCCTCTTTAGAATTACTCAGTGGAAAAGAGTCACTTCCTACAGTGCCACACCCCCTTCTTTGGGCAGGCTGCATCCAACGGCTGGTCAGCCAAAACCTGACTCTCGGAAAAAAAACAAAAAAACAAACAAAAAAACAACAACAAAAAAAACCCCCCTGACTCTCTTGCTCCAATCTGGGGCAATGTTGAAGAGCCATTCAGGTTCCGAGTTTCCCACGGGGTCAGCAGAGAACATGGTTGAGACTGTGTTGCAGCCCTGCTCCTCCTCTGCCCGATCCCAGCTGCTTCCCACTGATGGGGATTCCCAAAGCATTCACTAATC